GGGGCGTAGGCGGAGATTACGAAAAGGCATCGGCGAGTAGTGCAGTCCTTTCTCCTTTTCACTGATCCGTTCAGACAGACAGCACACATTCGGCTATCTACCGGGATCCAGTCAAGTAATGTCTTTTCTGCCCTAGTACTCAAAGCTATCCCAACACCAGCTAATCTTCGTGAGCCAGCTGTGGAATCTCCTGACACCCTCAAGGTGAATTTTGCAGATTCATCCTGTTGGCCAGGTGGGGTTAGGTGAATAACCACACTTGGGTCCTGTATGCGTGTTTCTGAAACACAACATACATCAATGGCTCGGGATGCCAGAGTCTTGGCTAGTGATGCCTGTTGTCCTATTTGGCAAAGTGTCCTAACATTAAATGCCCCTATATGAAATTGGTGACGTGGCTTTAGGAGACTATCGATGGTGGCTTTTTGGCTTCCGTCATTTTCAGTGCACACAGAGTGAAGAGGAAGTGAAGGGCCATTAAGTAGAGGAGTTGTATTAGTAGAAGGAAGGTAAGATAATAGAGATGAAGATGAAGACAAAGGTGAGTGAGGATTAGAGAGGTTTCGCGTGCTCTTCGGATTGTGAGGGCGATTGTTACTTCCCGGCTGCCCACACCATGGAAGTTGGTTGCGTGACCGCAGAGCCCAGGGGACAACTGCTTGAGGCCGGTCACACACGGCCTGTTTTTGTTTGTTGTTTTTCATTTGGTGTGCCTCAGTAGCGTATTTATCACTTCTGCCCTGTGACACGGCAGCAGAAAGCGCGGTCGTTGTTAATCCGGGCCCCGACCGATCCGGCATGATATTTTGTGATTTGTTTGAAGTCATAGGATTGGATTGGGTAACTGCTTTTAGTCTAACCGCTATCCAAACAACCTTTCTGGCATGGTAAGACCTGCAGGAACATAAGTTCCAGCCAGTATAGCTTGTTGGGTCATTGCGGTGTTCAAGCCCGACCACCACGTCAAGGTAGCAGCTTTCGGTCGGGTAACAACTCTGTTGATTTTTGATGACCTGATTTTGTTTGTTTACCTATTTCTTTATTTGCTTATAATTCTTGTATTCATTTAGAACTCTTATGTGACTTCATATTCTCTACTTTGCCCCTGTGTGTATCTTGAGTACAACTCAATCATCAGACTGTTCATATTATTACATGACTCCTTTTTAACAGCTCTTTGTGACAACTCATTACCTTTGTCACTACACTAGATTTTCATTAACACCTAATTTTCTTGACCGTTTTTGTATTACGTAACTCTAACCGAAACTTACTAATTTTCACCTGTTTAGTTAAAATAACTATAACCCATTGTAATTTTGTTTGATAAACTTAATGTACACATACATACAAAATAACACGTATATATTTGCGATTGTACAGCTAAGAAAATGAATTCGTCATCGAAAAGAAACTCTTCGCGGATTCACGTATTTTGTTTTCAATGATGACGAATATCATTCTCGGTGATAATAGTGGGCAGACATGTCTTACTGCTGTCTTCGCTTCAAAGTCTTCATTCATTTTTCCGTTATGTGTCACTACACATGTAACATTGTCATATAAGTGTTCAATGAGGTTGATTACGGTGTGGGTACTGCACTCCGAAGCGCTGAAGTAGTTGCTAAATTACTTCACAGTCAATGCAGTTGAAGACCTTTTCAAGGTTGATGAATTCAATGTAAAAATTTGACCACTATTCAATGCTCTCTTCCCTGATGATGTGTAGAGTTGATGTTTGATCCACAGTCGACTTTCAGTTAATCCAAACACGTTGTAATTCTCGCTACTATCAGACATAAATTATCAGTGATTCTTTACCAGGACACAGTCCACTGTGGTAATTGTTTCTGAAGTTCATTCATTATTTCGTCAGGTTAAGGAGTAATCATTTCATGTAACTGACTACTTACTGCCCTGTTATGGTGGAAACATGTTGGAAACATACACTTTGTCCTGTATAAAAATGGATCCCCATGGTTTCCATCATCGTGACTATCTTATTGTAAACAGTGAGTGAGATTCAACTACATTATTACCATGAATCACCTCTATGATTCATATAATTCTGTTCCTGTCAACAAAACAATGTTACAGAAAGATACTTATATCATGACTGATAATAAAACTCGACTAACAATCCTATTTGTAGATGATGGCATTATCTACTTCTCAGAGTCCTATCACTCCGTTAAAATTAAGTTCTTAAAGAGATTGAAAGTGACTCCAATGACTGAATAGAAGTCCATTTGACTGTACTACAGATGGCGGTGGTGGCGATGGTGGGAGGAGGGGGAGGAGGAATACTTCTGTTCAGCTGAAGGGAGGATGACTTCTCATAAAGATGTAAGGGAAATATACTGCTGACTAGTGTCTGCAATCATAAAGTGTAGGCTAATGCGTTTTATCCAGATGCCTCAGATTAGTTGTCAGTTTGTGGTGAGAACTGTCTGCTAGCCAAAATGGGTAGACAACAATTTACGTCAGTGTTACTTCCCAAATCGATGTCATGAGAAAAAAACAATAACAAAGCTTAACCAATCACAGCAGACTTAGCGTGTTCAAATACGATTCACAGATATATGGCTTAACTTTCTAAGAAACGGTCACAAGTAGTACAGAATAACCTTCAGTAAGAAGACAACCAATCAGAAGGCTTTGTTTCTCTGCTGACAATAATGCTAATTATAATGTAGATAAAAATCTATAAATATCTCCTGATTTTCTCAATAAAAGATCTGTTGCCTGACTCTTGTCTACTGTCGTTAAAAGTTTATTTATTTTAATAACAATTATAATGATTGCTTTATTCCAAATAGTACTTTTGGTACAAATATGTGATTTTCAGCATGCAGTACGGCACTGCATCTAAATTTCTCATTACAGGGTTAATAATTAAAACAGGACATTTACATTAGTAATACTGTTCAATATGGATGGGAATACGTCATTAAATTTAGGTGAAAACATTGACCACAATATAAAAACAAAATTTTTAAAAATAATAGATAGGGCCGTTTACTTAGTGTTCCAGAATAATTTGGTAGCGTCATACTTCCACTTTTCTCACCACATAAAATCTGTGCCAAATAAGGTATATTGTAGAGTTTTTTCTACTTAGTCGTCCAAGTACAAGATCTTCTATAGTTCTATCTAGTTCCTCTGACTAATGAGATACAATGGAGGGAGTTAAGTATAGGGGAGATGCTCAGGGTCCGACGAGATGATATTCACTAATTTCTTGCAGGAGTCCATATAACTACATGTCTACAACAGTACTAACAGCAAGTTGGTTTGTCGACATCTCACTCATCCTACTGACAGCTTTTAGTGTCCTTCGCAGCTAATTAAAATCTTTCTTTAGTAACACAGAAAAGATTCACCGTGGGGGAGAAATAAAGAAGAACAAGTAGAATTTATGAATTAACAAACTGTGGAAGTAGCGATTGACTGAGTGATACGAGATTGTCTTAACTTCCGCACGTAGTAGAATGTCAGACGAAATATCTTTCTAGAGACTAACATGATGTTGGAAGATTAGGAAAGATAAGCGGAAATACACAATCGAAGGTATTTAACATTCAACTTAGTTTCAACTTCAGCGCCATCTATGATAGTATAATCAAGCGAACTAAATACTTTATGTTTGTTATTCTTTAGAAGAATGTGTTTGTTGAAGACATTCAAGTCTATTCCATTTACTTTCAGAAAAGGATTATTTCAAGAAAACTACTGAATGTTCACCTAGGAAGGTTGAATAGATACATATATTTTTTTCCAATGGTTCTCTAATCGATGTCAGCTCATGATTAAATCCTCTAACCAATCTGACATATGATCTCTACAAACCAATACATGAAAAATTGGTCTGATGCTCATTAGCTACCGGTACTATTCATGTAGGTGGTTACCTGTGGTTCTAGTGGGAAGCTATGACCAATAGGATACAGCAGGAGGAAGATGAGGATAGTTAATCATTGAAGAAGACATCGCGAAGTCTTCGAGCTATGTCGTGATTTGACAGAAGTTGGAATTCATGGGCTGGCTATTGGATCGCGTCCCAGTGGTTTAACGGTAATGTAACCAGAAGGTCCTGGTTTCGAACACTGGCGCTAGGTACGTACTTATGAAGAGTCCCAAACTAGGACTGGGGAGACGGCTGGCTTTCCAGTACTCCTTGTCGGTTTTACAATGTTTCTCTAACCGATATTAGCTCATGATAAAATCCTGTAACCAGAGAAAGTAGTAATTAGAATAAAATATTAATAATAATAATACCAGTTAATAGGTAGAACATGTTACCATGGTTACATTCAGAGTGACCACCATTTCCTTTTATACACAAATACCTGGTTTGTAAACTCTAATTGCACAAATCTCCGAAGTTGCAAGCATCTTTCTGTTTGTTTATCTGCTGACAATAACAGTGAATGACTTGACAGTGCGTCAATAACATGTCCATAGTCCGCAAGATGCTTTGTTATTGAACTTTTTTGGCACTTTGACTTCAGCTTTTTTCAACCAAGTTGACAAATACACTTCATCATACAATTAGACAATTGCCTTTCTGTACGGCCTATGTATTTACTTCCAGAAACACACTCAAATTGCTATACACAGTTTGAAGTGTTCCGGATTGTCGACTTGTCTTTCCCAGATTGTTGTCCCAAACTAGGACCGGGGAAACAGCTGGCTGTCCAGTACTCCCAGCTGGTGGTTTTCCAATAGTTCTCTAACCGATGTTAGCTCACGAAGAAATCCTCCAACCAATCAAATATACATATATATGTAACAATTTGTAAAAAGGATTATAAATATACTTCATGAATAACCAGTGCACTCTGATACACATATCATATTTCTTCTATCTCTTTTCCTACCTTTTCACTTACATAATTTCTTATACACTATAATTATATGGAATATGATAAGGTCCATTCAGTAAGTATCAAGTCAATTCGTATCTGTATATATATGTAAATTCTTAGATAGCAAAGTTTATATTTCTTGGTGTATCTATATTTTTCATTCTGAAAGAAAGAAAGAAAGCAAAAACAAACAAACAACCACAATAAAATTAAAAGTGAATGTCATTCAAAGGCATATTCTATATCCAATTGTTTATATTTATCTATTTATATACATTTATGCTTCATGGTGTTGAATGTCAATTTCCAGCTGTCTGTGCAACGAATCTGACTAGTCGTCTTCCAGCTGTGTGTTGTCCAACACCACCGAGTAAGTCTTTCATTTGAAATGTTAAACTATTTTTGGAGTGATATATTCGAGTTTTTTATGTTTAGTATGTACAGGCTGTTTAGTGCATTGGGAAGTAAGTTTGGTTAGGGACCTGTTTGTTGAATTTGTTTTATGCTAGGAGATTCTAAAATACGGTCGATAAGAAGCTTTAAGTGGCTGCTTTTCATACTTATTGTCACTTTCTAGTAAAATTTGTCCCCAACAATTAAGAAAATACATATTTATAAACATGACTGATAGAGTTCAGTTTGCACCAAAGATAGGACTAGACAAATTACACTAATTACTGGTTAGTCTCCAGGGAAAGGAAAAAAATCCGATACAGTGCTAAAGGAGGTCAATCGCGAGCCCGAATAGCTCAGTGGTTGAAGCGAGTTCGAATCTCAGAACGGAGATAAGTTTCTTCAAGTTTGCAGATACGCCTTGCTGATGAGTGCCAACTAGCACGAAACGTAGGTCAGGTAGGGATTCCTGCCGATTGCCTCCAACCATCTGAGTTATTATTGTTTCTTTTAGTTCCTAGAGGAACATAGGGCTTCAGCCGCACGTCGCCAGTGAGTTTGATTCTCTGCCAACGTTTTCACCTGGCTCCACGTCTGCTAACATGCTTTCATCTCTTCTTCACATCACCTCCTCCTCTATGTCACCCTAGCACTGATGACCAACTCGCTGCTTCCCATTGACAGAGATCCCTCCCTGTTTCTGATCTTTTCTGACCGGCATTCTGATCTTGATTAGTACTGAGCAAAAACGGCTGTTGATGAAGGTGTGTAGTTTGCTCGAATTGGCCTTCGTGAAGCGGCGTCAAGTCTCTGATCCGTGTAATAGCACTGACTTCACGTGGGAGTTGAAATGCTGAGTGCTGTCGATCTCCATACAGACTTGAGAGTAATTAAAGCCTGCCTTGCTTTCCCGATGGTCGCCTTGATATCCTCATCAGTTCCGTCCACCCGTAGTTGAAACGATGCCTCCTAGGTAGGGTAAGTAGATAAAGGAGGTTGGTTCTTTCAGGTTCCTCCCATTTATGCTGATTGTTGTCTGTTGTTGTTGTTGCTGCTGTTGCTGTTGGCCAGGAATCTTCTTCACCTCTGTTTTCTCTATGTTCACCTGAATTCCTTCCTATCTTTGATGCTTCTTCTTCCAACTTGTTGCTTTTCACTTTCATATCTTCCAGTCTGTGAAAAATCAGACATATATCATTGGCGAAGTCCAGATCCCCCAAGTTTTTTGTGTTGGTCTAGTTTACGCTTGTTTCCTCGTTGCCCGTCGCTGTCTGTCACATTTTACAGTCTACCGTCAACAACCAGGAAAGTCATTGGAGATAGTAGGCAGTCGGCCAGCCTTCCTTGTCTTACTCCCGTCTTCACTTCGAAGGATTCCGTGACTTTGCCGTTGTGGATTACCTGGCATGCAGCATTGTTGTACAACTGTTGGATGACATGTATAATTGTTGGCGGCACCCCAGCCATCTAATACCAAATTCATATTCATTTTTTGATCATAAAGTATCCCAATTTTTGACGAATTTAGCGAATTTACCAACAGGGTGTTCAGCTCGCGACTGATGACCTGTTGAATCAATTCGGTTACAGTAACAAATGTAACTGTCACGTCTTCAATAAACAAAAGTTGGTTGTTGTCTAAAAGGTATTTTGTTTATAATCCATGAATAATCCTGCTGTAATGGAGTGTTCATGATTTATTTGTTGGCTGTTGTCTATATTTGGCTGGAATGAACCTCCAGTTACGGCACTGTAACCAACTGATCGCTTGGCACACCGAGAGGCAGATTAAACTGTGACAGTTGCGACAACAGTAACTTTATTCTTCTCAATACGGAGGATTTATTATTGTTTACACAACCAAAGGAATTTAAACTATAAATAATCGATATCTTATTGATTGCGTCAGTCATGACTACGGCTAACAATGATATCTTATCCATTGATTTGTAGCTCCATTTTGTCACATTTAGTCAAGAAAACGAAAACACTCAAGGTGATTCATCGCATCCCACAGAATCTTTCCAATAAACTTCGTATTCATCTCCTGCACGCACGGCTGAGGTAATTATTATTAATGTTTCCTTTAATTCCTAGAGGAACACAGGGTTCAGCCGTGCATCTCCATTGCGTTCGGTTCTCTGCTAGAGTCTTCACCTGGCTCCAAGTCTGCCACACGCTTTCATCTCCTCTTCACATGACTTCCTCCAAGTCACCCTAGCAATGACTACCAACTCGCCGCTTCCCTTTCGGGTTCCACTCGAGCAAGGGCTTGTCTAGTGGTGTCACTTGATGGTTTCCTCAGAGTATGGCCAGCCAATCCATCTCCATTTCTTCCTGCCTATTTGTTTCACAATCGGTTCCTGGTTGGTTGACTCCCAGAGATCTCTATTGCTGATGTTTTCTGGCCGTGTGATCTTGAGTATTGAGCGAAGACAACTGTTAATGAAGGTCTGTATTTGTTTGAGATGCTCTTTATGACGCGCAGTGCAAGTCTCTGATCCGTATAGTAGCACTGATTTCACACTGGAGTTGAAAATCCCGATCTTATTTTTCATGCTGAATGCTGTTGACCTCCACACAGACTTGAGAGTAGTGAAAGCTTGTCTTGCTTTTCCGATTCTTGCTTTGATATTCTCATCAGTTCCACCTGTAGTTGAAATGATGCTTCCAAGGTAGGTGGAGGAGGTTTTTCCTTTAGGTTCCTCCCATTTATGCTGATCGTTGTCTGTTGTTGTTGTTCTTGTCCAGGAATCTTCATCACCTCTGTTTTCTCTATGTTCACCTGAAATCCTATCTTCTCTGGACGTTTCTTCTTCCAACTTGTTGCTTTTCGCTTGCATATCTTCCAGTTTGTGGGAAATCAGACATATATCATTGGCGAAGTTCAGATCTGAGGTAACAGACACTTGAACTATTAAGTTTAAACTATGCATTCAAAAGAAATTCGTACAGCCATTATCTTTCTCTCTTGGTCTGTTAAAACCAAACCAACTGATGGCTTTTTGATCACCCGTTACTTCTATTTTCAACCCTTCTCTTATCATCCCTTAATCTTATCACATCTTCATTAAAATATTATTTATTCGCTACCCTTACAATCTAGTATTACGCAATCCGTTGTCATCCTTTATCGACTTCTTCTACCTGAACATTTGTATGTTTAATCATGTTGTTTTTCGTTATTCTTGTCATCACATTACGCCTCACTTTTTCATCCTTGTTATTGATAGAACCATTATTATTATTATCATTAGTATTACAATGACTAATTGCAAAATTTGTATTCACCATCTTATTATCCTATAGACTAAACACCATGATTGATGGTTTATATTTGAATGTTTACTTGTAAAGTTATGTAAATTAGAGTTTATTAAGCCTGATGAGATCTAATTAAAGGCACAATATTGTTCGGTTGAATCAGTAGTTCTAAATTAATGAAAAGAACAAAAAAGTTAGTCCTCCGGGCAAAGTTAAACTTTAGGCACCACTAACTACCAATGAAGTGAGAACGCACCACTGACCTTGATTGGTTCAATGAATTTCATTCACGTTAGTTGAAGCTTCTCTTCCGCTTGATTCGAGTCAAATGCTTGCTTTTACTTGGTTGTGTTTGCAGTTTTATGGGGATCCAGTCTTCCAGTATTGCTTAGGTGTGGGGTTGATTAGGAAAGAGAAGATTTGTTCATGTGGAGGTGTGATAACCATAGAAAAGCTTCAGCAGGTCTCTTGTTGAACAGGCACATGGTTATGCAATTTATTTGAATTGGGTTAGTGTCAGGGAAGGTAAGCTGAGGATTGTAATATTTCGTAAGAACATTTTTGGCCAGATCCCGTCTTTCCTTAACCTAGATTTTGTATATTTGTTATTACTAGGTTTTAAAACAGCCTGTGAGAGGTGCAGCTGCTGAAACTAAAAATAGTCTCGTATCAGCAGTTCAGTGGTACCAGCGGTAAAAGGGATATCACATCCTGGAAAATGGAAAGGTTATAACTCCTTGTCATCCCTTGTATATATATTCACCACAGAGTTAAGCATTCTAATGATTTTGTGGATCCCATAACAGAGACCCACATCGATTCTATCGAAGGCTTTTGGGGAAGGTTAAAAAACAAGATTAGAGCCATTTATGGATCGCAAAGCGATGTCACTTATAGTCACTTAGATGAATATATATGTATAGGATGTGGTTGTAACTTTCCTATTGATACTCCTATGCTAAACTGGGAGATGTTTTTATCATATATGAGAGAAAGGTATCCGAAGTAACACTTTTATACAGTTTTCTTATGCATTTATTTACATAAATATATATGCATTCCATACCCAAAATGCCTCCTTTATGTGATTGGTGCATTCAAGGCTGTTCATTGATTGGTAGTTAGTGGTGTTTAAAGTTTAACTTTGCCGTTCTCCGAAAGGGTTCTTTTCGGCGAATTCATTTTCCAGTTTAGCTGCATAATCCCATTTATATACATTTTTTGTTGTTGATGGAATAGGGTATTAAAACAGTGATATAAGAATAGAACTTGTACACTGTGGTAAAGCATAATTCCATTAAGGGTAAAACTTATTTTGATAAATTCTCACAGTGTTATACAGTAATATTTACTGATGACGTTTATCACTGCTCATAATAATATCAAGGTACTCACACAACTTACCATCTTCGTTTATATAATTCCAATATTTTCCATCGCTTGATTTGATTGGTAGTAGTATTTTCCACATTTCAGGTATGAGTGATGAATCATTCCTATTGCACGTGTTGGGTGTAGATTCGATGAACCAGCATTCAGTAATCAACCTCTCTCTCCACCTACCTATATTACTTACTTCTTAGAATTCTAACTTTCTCCCACCCACTCTACTGTATGGTTGTGTGTTAATGTATGCAGTGCTATTGATGAGCTTTTTTCTAAATTACTTATCTTCGCAGGGTGAACCATTCTAATCTTAGCAAAATTCTTATGTTCCGACAATCTGACTACCCACGATCTACTAGTTTGACCTATGTAGTTGTCTTAACTCACAGTCATTGCAAAGTATTTTGTAAATTATACTGTTTTGTCTAATTGGGTCAACTGGGCCCTTTACCTACAGAGCTTGTCCTACCTGAGTGAGTTTGTAGGGTTGAATGCCACCCTAATTCCTGCCTTATTCAGAATCCTACGTAGGGTCTCAGATGTCTCCTCCTTATATGGTAAAACTGTAGATGCCTTATATTCTCTCTTATTTATGTTATCATTACTAGTTCGACAATTATTTTTCTTTTTCTTTTGGCGTTTTTCAATCTTCCTAATGAATTTTAGAGGATAGTTATTTAAAACCAACGCCTCTTCTATCTGTTTTATTTCGTCGTTTAGGTCTTTTTTGTGCTACTTAGTGCTATGGCTCGGTTTGTTAAACACTTAACTAAGCTTACCTTAACAGTTAACGGATGAGACGAATTAAAATCTAAATATCTTTCAGAATGCGTTGGTTTTCTATAAACACTAGTGTGTAGTTTGCCTTCTTCTATTCGTTTTATTTTACAATCTAACATAGCTAATTCTCCTTGTTCATTTTCGGCTTCAAATGTGAATTTTATTCCCTCTACTAGTGAGTTTGTGTGTGTCAAGAAGCTAGAGATATGTTCTGTTTTTAATACTATGGGTGAAAGTGTCATCCACATATCTCCACCATATTTTTGGAGTAGGATTAAATGTATTCAGGGCACTATTTTCCCAGCTGTGCATAAATATATCCGCTACGATAAGGGATGTTAGTGACCCATCCGACAGCTACACCTTCTATTTGTCTATATATTTTGCCTTGGAATTTAAAGATAGTAGATGTGAGGCATAACTGAATTCCTAAAATAATTTTCTCAATGGGTAGCTTCGTCCTATGACTAAGTTCGGGATCAGAAGTCAGTTCCCCCTTAACCGCTTCTAAGGCCATATTGATTGGTATATTAGTGTACAGACTAGTGATATTAGAACTGACCATTTTTTCACTATTCTCTAACTGAATGTCATTTAGTTTCCTTTTCATTTCATATGAATTAGTTAGCCTAGAGTTTGAATGATTTCTGGTAGGACATAATATTAGAGCTAAGTGTTTTGATAGTTCATACGTCGGCACATTTCTGAAATCTATTATTACTAGACCCTGATTAAATGATGCATATTGTAATAGGGGTAAAAGTTATAGTGTGGTGAGAGCTGTCTACTAGCCAAATTGGTAGACAGTAATTTACGTCAATATTTACGTTCCCAAGATTTGTCGTGAGAAAATGTGAACAAAGATTGATTCAAAACCGACCACAGCAGACTTTGCGTAGGCGGATGCAGTTAACATATAGAGGATTTGACATTCAAGAAACAGTCACAAATAGATGACAGATTAACTTTACGTGAGAAACAACCAATCGGAAGACTGTGTTTGTTTGCTTAATTAATCTATAATAATGTACATGAAATATATAAATATGCGTTGATTTCCTTAAAAAATGATCTGCTGCCTGACAATAGTAGCTTTATTTCGGATAGTATTTTTATAATAATATTTTCTCTTCATTTAGGATCTTCAGCTGAAATACTAACTAATAGCAGATCACTTTGACACGAAGCTCTCTGACTTGAAGGTGAAACCAATCCCTTATGACATCCCTTTTTTGTCTCTTTCGAGAAATTCATCACATCTGGAAGCCAGTCCACCGACGTAGGAATGTCAGAGTTTTGCCACATAGAGTTGATTATATTGTTCATCCATTTTCGTGTTTCTTCACTCCTCTTTTTTAAGTCTTCGACGTAAATCATCCAGTAAAGTACGTTGGTGAATCTGTGATTTCTGAACTGACACATCCAAATGGACAATAGGAGTAACCGAAGCAGAAACTGGCACGGTAAGATACAAAGTGAACGTCAAAGGACTTCTTTGGTTAAGATATATACAGAACATCAGGAAACGAGAAGGTTTTGTTGATACTGGCAACCGGTTTCAGGATAGTTTACCAATGGACACTTTGTGCAGAGAAACAACCATGAGAAAACCAAGGGAACCACAGTCATCGGTACTACAAAGATCGCAAAGTTTACACAGACCTGTGAAGTATATTCATGTAGAGTCTAGACTGAGAGGTTATTAAAAAAAGGGAAGATGTCAGGATGGATAACCTATGGTTGTTAGTTCTGAACTGCTGATTGATGTACACACTGGAATGATAATCTGATTGGTTATTTTTTGATGGTTTTATTTTTGAACGGCCCTCAAGGTCATGCAGTCAGTCAGTCAGATATTGATCATTTATCTACTGTTTAAATTTTCGTGGATGTTTGAATGATAGATATACCCCGTCTTTCGAACAATAAAAAGAGGTTCTTGTTGTTGTTGTTGTTGCTGCTGTCACAGTTAAATCCAACTTCTGTGTTTGTTTGGGCTTGGATATTATTTTCAAGTTATCACCTGACTGTAGTGTCATGTCTGGAGGTGCAATTTAGTCTAGACAGACAACAACCAACAGAAACAGTAACACTTCGTTGTAACAAATATGTCTATCGTTTACTACACAATTGTTGATATCAATAACATGGATTATAAAATTCAATCTTATTTAGTCACTTGACTGCACCACTGAAACTGAAATAAACTCAAAATGGCGGACACCAATAAGGCTAATTCATGTGTGTCAATAATTTGAAGTATTATTGCGTGTACACACTTGTGATACACACTACTGTGATATAGTAGAGTAGGACAGTATAACATCAAAAGAGAGATGTTGATTTTTCAAAAGTCCTTATTCATCTTATCCATAACTAATACGTAAAATAATAATAACTTGAAAGCGTGCCGAGATAAGTTAAAGAATGAGAAGCAATCCGAACTTCGAGTGGCTTGTAATCATCAATAAGATGGTTATAAGTAATCGATTTGGATGTGACTTCATTGAGTAAACAATACTGTATCTTTGTGCGTGTCAAATTACTTGAGTATTTATAAGTATGCCCATATAGTTCAGTGAAATTAGAGCGTGTTGATAACCTGCTTTTCTTAAGTACACATGAGGTTCTTAGAATAAGCTCCAAAAAGGAGTTTAGAGAACTCTCTTATCTGCCTGTGTCGGCTAGACATATGTCATCCATATCTTCTACAGTCTTCACTTCAGTCCAGGTTATTCCTGTTTTCTCGATCCCCACGCACAGTCTTGCGCATAGTCGAGTCTACTGCAATTAGGAATGTCATTGGTGATAATAATGGGCAGTCTTATCTTACTCCTGTTTTCATTTGAAATGCTTCTCTGTGTTTTCCATTGTGGATCACTTGACACTTGGTATTGTCATATATCTGTTGAATGAGGTTGAAAAAGATTTTGGTCACTGCATAGTTTTGAAGAATTTTAAAAATTACGTTTTCTAAGTCAACAGAGTTGATGTAGAGATTGGAGTGCCATTTAATGCTCTGTTCGACGGTGATGATGATGATGCGTATAGTTGCCATTCGATTTCGCGCATGATTTGCCTTTACTAAATCGAGCTTTTCCTGGTCGGATTTCTGCATCCATTACATCTCTTCAGAATGATGCGACTGAGCATTTTGCTTGGGTGTGTCAACAGGATGATTCCGCGGTAGTTCTTTGAGAGGCCTGTTTTTCTACTCTTTGATAATTTTCTACAAGGTAATCTTTCTTCCAATCAGTAGGTACTTTTACTTCCTTCCATACTTGAAGGAAATTAAATGTATAAAACTCATTTAAAATACTCTACTTTTATGCAGATCTTCAGATAACATTTCCTCATAAATCAGTGCTCAAATCAGTGCTCTTAGACAGACATTAGGATCTATGTTGAAAACAAAAGTAATCGCCCAGACAGCGAAAAGATAACAAAGATCCATACACAAATTTGAATTAGGTATATATCCTTTTGGTACTTACTAGTCTTATTCGTGTTGATAAGTTTCGCAGGGGAATTTCCATTGTAATTGTATATCTTGCTTCCATTTTTCATTTACAGATTCATCTCTTCCTTGTGGTGGTCCAGGCAGAGGTTTATGTCGAGAAATCAGTGCTTTTCCTGAAGATCTTGACTTAGCACAATTAGACAGTAAATTTCTGCAAGATGATCGTTTAGCCTGGCCAACTCGATTCTTTGAAGCAGCTTGTGCTTGTCAGGTAAATTCAGGCTGTTTCTGATAACTTGTATTTCGTAAACGTTTGTTGAAATTGAAAAAAAAAACTCATTTTTTAAAAATTTTTATATATTTTAACTGATTAAAAATGCCCATTAAAATTTTCAAAAGAATGGACACTGAACAAAGAGTACTCTTTTCTAATTTTAATTTAATTTTGATTTACAGCTTGATTCCACACCGTATTTTCAGTACAAGTATGGAATTTTCAGCATGGATATCGGTAGCCCAAATTCAGGCCGACCATAGATATCGGGTGTGCGCCGGCAGGGGATCGAACCCCGGACCATGTGCATGGTCGGCGAGAGTCCTAACCACTGTGCCACCGACGATAAATTCATCGTCAGACTCTACAGTTATATGTACACATTATGGTGAATGAATGAATTAGTGTTATGAACGACATTAATGTTGTTTGAATAACATCACATCAATAATATTGATAAATTACAGCTCAGTAGCATTAACATAAAATAAGCTGAATGTCAGAAGAATTATGAAAGATAATAGCACTTGAACAAGACAATATACACACTTTCACAGCTTCGTTCCTATCAATTACAAAAGAAATTTAGTGAAGACCCTCAGCCACAGAGTTAGAGCTATATGCTCTGAAGAAGTAATCAAAGATGAATTAAGCACTGTATATGATACTTTGGTCGAAAATGGTTATCCTGACAAATTTATCAAGAAACACATGACTAAGAAAGCGGAAATGGACTACTCACTGTCTGTAAACAAGAAGCCTTTATATTTGCGACTACAATTCATGGGCGATATACCAAGCGAGATAATTGCGAAGAAATTAAGAAAATCATTACAAAGAACTTCCAATGCTGGCGAACTATGCGTTTTACCCTCTACACGACCGATGGTGCTACCTGGACTGAAAGATGAAGTACCTAGACTAGCTAGCCACTTCAAATTGTATCTACCAGTTCAACTGCGCTGATGGTGGAGCGAGTTATATTGGCCGTTGCTCTAGGAACTTGATTTTTCGTGCTCGCTAGGGACCACCTACCAGTTTGGCTAGACAAAGTTGTTGGGAAAACCATTAACAGTTCGAAATTGGATCATATGATGCAAACCGGCCACAAAGCCAGAGTGGAAGAATCCTTCTCTATAATCTAACGGGTGCTTAACAAATTGCCAAAATCATCGAAGTACCGCATGCTCCAAACAGCAGAGGCTATTGTAATTCGCGTCAGACAACCAGTGCTCTGTGCGCAAAAGAAGCAAGTCCAGCCTCTACTACTGCCCTGGCCAGCCTTCAGTAGAGACTATAAATTCATGAATTTTTGTTATTATCTTTCCTAATTTTTCTGACATTCAGTTTATTTTATGTTGATGCTATTCAGCTGTAATTTATCAATATTATTGATTCGATGTTATTCAAACAACATTAATGTCGTTCATAAGACTAATTCATTCATTCATTATAATGTATATATAATTGTAGAACCTGATGATGAAGGCGTTATCGAAAAGAGTACTCTTTGTTCAGTGTCCATTCTTTTATATATTTATCAAAGTGGTAACTAATAGATGATACCTTTATTATAATGAAATTAAAAATCAGTTATGTGAGTTTTGCTAGTGGTTAAAAACCTGTTTATTCTAGGCTGACTATATATAACAAACTAGCTATCAGCTGTTGAGTTGTAAAGACTGAAGATATAGTATCAGAGGAATGAACTCGAAGAAACCAAGCATACTTTAGGCTAGAAAGAGGGTGTATTGATCACATACTCACCCTTCAACAGATTCTGAAACATAGGCATGCATACTGGCATCCAATAATTGCCATATTTCTTGACGTGAAGGCGAAATTCAACTCTGTCGATTGAGAAGTACTATGGAAATGTTTGGTAGTGAAGGGACTGCCGAGAAAGACTATCGCATTTATCAAGCTACTGTTCTTGAACTCGTGTAGGCGTGTAACGGCTTATGGCGAATTGTCCCCTGAAGTGCTGGGAAATAGCGGTGTGCGTCAGGGAGGCCCATTTTCCTCATTTCTGTTTAATTTCATCATAGATAGAATACATAGACTTACAATAACACCAGAGAACCAGCGTAAAGAAATAAACGTGCTATTTAAAATGTTACTCGACAACAACTACCCAAAAGAATATACCAGAGATAATGCAAAAAAGCGAAAAAAGAGGGTAAAACCGGTGAATGACAAGAAGGAGGAAGGCAAAAACAATCACAATACCATACAAAAATGGCACATCAGAGGCAATTCGAAGAAACCTCAAAAATATCGGGATTCGCACAACGTTTAAACCGACGAATCTAATTAAAAATAAAATAAATCAACTGAAAGATCCCATAAAAATTAATGGATAAAAACAATGCGATTTACAAAATATCTTGTGGTGAGTGTCCGACTAAATATGTGGGTCAAATGTTCAGATCACTAAAAATAAGAGTGAATGAAATAAAGGTCAACCAACAGGAACACAAGCTTACAAGAATTTAGAAAAAAATTCATCTACAGCTGCACATGTAGCATGGGACAAAAACCACAATATTGATTGGGACAATATTTGTATTCTGAAATCCAATATGAACAAATGGAAAGACAGACTAGTAACGACGGTATCTGTATTCATTAAGGTCACACCGGATAGATGTAGCAAGGGTGACTCAGCACAACTTTCAACGTCCTCACGAATTAGTAGAAGTTAGAATTTTATGTGCTGGCCATTGGGAAGTCGAGTCCCAATGGCTGAATGGTCTGTCAGCTCACCTTTTAACCGTGAGGTGATGGGTAGTTACTACTGATGAGTCCCGTACTAGGATGAAACATCTGTCCAATACTCCGTGCCAGTACTCAGTGGTTCTCTAACTGATATCAGCGAATCCGTGGTCAAACTTTTAACAAATAGAATCCCTACGAACTAATTCTTGTAACGGAAAGGAAGTACCGAGTCAGGATGCGGACTTTTGTATAATTTTGTGTTTGATGCCTGATAGGTGCATCATTCTGCATAGTAATGTGAATTGTAATGCAACAATGGAAAGTTTGGTAGCAAAAAAGTCTTTAAAATCTCCTCGTAATTTAATTTCATTCTATTTTTGGTGTGGTTGTGTTCTAGTGGCTGTATAGTTTAACTTAGAAGCGGTACTTCTGTCCTGAGAAGAGAAGAGAGACAGCGTGTATCAGAAAAAAATGATGGCAAAAAAGCTTCATCGAAAGACCAATACAAATTATCTTTCAAAGGGAGATGAGAAACCTTCTACGAAGAACATTTCCAGGATCATCACCAGGATATGGAATTTCCACTCACAAACAGTCTGTTCACTACATTCCATGTAAACCAAAAGATCTAACTGTGAAAGAAGATAAAACCAATCTTCTTTACCTCAGTACCCTGTTTAAAATCCATCACTGGTTGTATAATTCCAAAGCAAATAAAGGATCAGCTACCGAGTCTACTAACTTAAACGTGCATTTATAACTGCTCTTCTGGAGACAGTTACATAGGTACAAAGACTCGGCAAACCTACTGTTGCCTTCTGAGCATTGCCCGACAGGGTTAGGTAATGGAGTCGTAAAGTCAGTCAGGAGTTCCACATTGACACACCTTGTGGATATGGATCCCAAGATTGATAAAAATTCAGCCTTTACAATCCTATACAAGATGGCATATGAATTCTCTGTACTTGTACGCCTTCGATTGTTACGCATAGCTTAGGCAGTTGTAATGAAAATCTGTCAACCCAATCTATGCATTCAGAAAAGGCTTGTTCAATCCCTCTCTGCCCCACCTCCAGTGGCCTTCACCCTAAACCCAGAATACTTATCGATCCCAGTGACACCGGATAGCTGTAAATACTATTTTTATTTGCACTGTTAAACTTGGCCTCATCATCAATATCATGCTGTACTTTAGTTGCATATTTAAACCTTAGTTTCACAATTCATTATAAAACCAAACATTCTACTATCTAACTGCTATGAGACAAAAGTTATTTTCCCTTGTCCCTCAACAAGTATACACATTCTACTTATATATTCACTACTATTGACTATCTAGATTATTTTTCAAGCATTAATTAGTAAGGATTTGATTTGTTCCAGGTTAGACCATGGATTAATGGCGGTTAGAGAAGTGTTGAAAGTCAGGGAGCACTGGAGAGCCGTTTCATCCTAGTTTGGGACTCATCGGCAGTACTCAACCACTGCCAGGGTTCGAACCCAGGACCTTCCGGTTACAGCACAAGCTCGTATACCATCCAGACACTGGGACCTTACTCCTCAATGGCCAGAACATGAAATATAAATTCTACTAATTCATGATGAGTTCAGCGCGACCATCGACCAATGTCATCGGTGGCAAGTATTTGTCCTCACTCCCGATTAATTGGACAGCTCTGGTCACGATACCTCACTAGAACTTCAGGCAAATTCGTCTCGTAGCCAGTCACTAGTTTATTTATTATTATTTCCTTTAGTTCCTAGAGGAACATATGACTTCAGCCATGCGTCTCCATTGCATTCGGTTCTCTGCTAGAGTTTTCACCTGGCTCCAGGTCTGCCCACATGCTTTCATCTCCTCTTCACATGATCTCCTCCAGGTCACCCTTGGACGACCAACTCGTCGCTTCCCTTTCGGGTTCCACTCGAGCAATAGCTTGTCTAGTGATGTCACTTGCTGGTTTCCTCAGAGTGTGGCCAATCCATCTCCATTTCTTCCTGCCTATTTGTTTCACAATCGGTTCCTGGTTGGTTCGCTCCCAGAGATCTTTGTTGCTGATCCTTTCCGGCCATCTGATCTTGAGCCAGTCACTAGTGAGCAGCAGATTATTATTATCATTATTGTTCCTTTGGGTTCCTAGTAGAACATAGGTCTTTAACTGCACGCCTCCACTTGCTTCTGTCTTCTGCTGTACTTTTCACCTGCATCCATGTTAATCCATACTGTTTCAACTCCTCTTCACACGATCTCCTCCATGTCACCCTTGGACGTCTCACTC